TACTAGGACAAAACGGCCGTCCGGTGCCTCCAGGTTTTCAATGGTGTTCTAGCCTAGATCGACTAGTGAATTCAAATGCTACTTACATTGACAAATATAAATCGTTGTAACACCAATCGGAAGTGGACTGCATGCCCTCAGAAGATTTGGAAGATCCAGTCGAAGAAAACAGAAAGTAATTTTAAGAACAAGGAAAATTAAAGGATTCTGAAGCATATAAAGGACAACTGATGGGAGGTGTTCAAATTATGTATTTGATGTGTGATTTTCATATTTTACCAAAGCACTCTGTAATTGTGCCTTAATAATTTGGCTCTCCCCCACCTGAGTCTTCGTTCACTACAAATATACATATGAATTAAAATTATTTTGGATCATCAAAACCAATATTTCTGGATATATACATATGGAATACTATTTGGTGGATTATCGACTGGATAAAAATGTCACTTTTATTTGGAAATTCAAAACATTACTGTCAAATGAAGCCGGTTGTTGACTTCTGTTATTATGACCATTCAAGCGTTTGAAAGAGTGATGAACAAGTTTATATTAGATATTCTAAATGACGAATAAATCTGTCATATCAATAGTAGATAAAAAGTTTTATTATCCTACTTATGAATTATATAACTCAATACCATCATGATATCATTATCTATCGTTTTCCAAATACTTCACTTCATATTAACTTGAGGTGATTACAATGCTCAGATAAAGATTTGAATGTAAGACTTATCAAATAAAGTACTGTTGTGACCTACTTTTATCAAGAAAACGCGATCAGTATAATGGAAAAATTTATTATTATAACCAATTGTACCAGTGATTGTTTTACTGTACTTGTTTGTTTAACTGTACTAAAAACATGCATTCTTCCGTTGACTACGATACTGCACGCTCTCGCGTACGCTCAGTATTTCCACTTGTACTCTTTGGCACGATCTCGGTATTCTTTCGATACCACGAGATTACCAACAAATACATCTTATTACAACCATCGACTGCCTTCTGGTTTTTTGCCTACGAAGGGATCCAAAGCAGTAACTGGCACGTAGTTTCAGTGTAGTGATGAACATAGTCAACCGCGACTCGACGTCACGCTACAACTCTACAGTACCATGCAATGTTACACTATCTCAGAAGTAATAGACTTATTGCTAGATATATCTTAAAATGAATATCACTAGGTCATATAAGATATCTAAAGAAAATGTCATCAGCTTACAATTAGTGATACTCAAGAAAACAGAAGTAACACGTAAGACTAAGTTTAATGATAAAAGCTATTTGTTACCAAAAGTTTAAAATAAGTGAATGATAAATTTTAAAAATAACTGGTGACAAGTAAAAGAATCATACATTAGGATTCTCAACCAATTTATCTTAATGTTTTCTAAACAAGTCCTAATAATGTTATATTTGTTGAAATTCCAGATCTATTAACAACATAAACTCAATATTATTTGTTTAACATCTCATATTACTACCAAGGCTACATAATTCTTTTATTCTTACCTGTAGAATATACTTTTAAAATTTATTAACTCTGATGTAAACTTAGTTTACATTTATTACATGGACACTTGAACATTATTAACTAGAGTTAACTAAATGAGAATCAGATTAAATGAAAAGAGCAAAGTGAATAGTGTCTTTCAATTTTTTCTCGTCTTGTATTTTGAGATCTCTTTGTTTTGTTTTTTTGTTTAGACTGTTAATTAATAGAAAGAATATTTTAATATTTGTACAGAATAAAGTATTTATGATATTCACTTGAAAAGGTTTCATGAGATTGGGTTGAAATTCGTAAGTTGCACTATTTATTGATTGATCTTAGTTTGAGTACTACTGAAAACCAAGTAACATTGGACAGTCATTGCATGATAAACACAATCTACATATTTATGATATTATTAATTGTCTATTAAGATGATTTTATGGTTATTTTGTGAAATTTAACGGTAATTTTCACCAAATATTAATTTAAGCTGTTAAATTATTTAAACCAACTGCTCATTTGTGTGACAGCTGTCCAGATAGTTTTCGAAAAGTTAGAAAGCAGAGCTTTGATCTGTGGAACTATATCATGTTGTAAGGTTAGACTCAGTTACAAAGTTCATTTTTTAAAGATATCCCAACCATCTATTACAAACAAAGATGAATAATGAGCAGTGAACATTAGTCTCAGAGAATCAAGTACATATGTTCATATGTGTTGAGCAGATATAAATAAATTGAACTGGTCAATAATGTAAATGATTCGGCCAGCCTATACTTAGATTTCACTCTGTGAATCAGTGAATATCACATGTTCACTTCCACTTTGCCCTGCATCCCATTTCATTTTTAAAAAATTCTCTTTGTATTCACTCGAGCCCGTTGATAATTACCCCTGTGACTCTTCTGGAATTACTGTCAGTCCCAAGCCCGAGTAAAGAAGGAGGGTTGGGTATGGGATCAGCAAAACCAACCTGCAAAAAACAATCTTGCTACAAAACCATTCAAACTCTTCCCTACAAGTTTAAGGATATTCATTTAGAAGAACTATCACACCTCATGATGAAAGCAGAGATTCTTTGGAAGTCACGTGAACAATCCCCCATCCAACGACAAGAGCAACAATTTTTATAAATACATGGAACGTCCTGACAAGGTGGGAGACTGGGAGGACCAATCAAATAGCTACAAAATGAGGAAATACAACTTGGTGATTTTCGAAATAAGTGAAACTCATTGAATCCAAGTTGGATAGAAAATATTATATTCGAGAGAGATTCTGTTCTACTCTGGTCTTGAGGAATAAGATGCTCCACACACTCAGAGAGTTGCACTGATGCTGTCCAAAGAAGCAGCAAAAACACTTATAGGATGGAAATCTCATGGATCCGGGATCATTAAAATGTTGCTGAACCGGATGAAAGACGCAGTAGACACCTAAATAAGAGATCAACAGACTGGATTCTGTAGGGATCAGTCGTGCACAAACCAAAAAGCGACACTACGGATCATCGGTGAACAATCATTTGAATGGAAATCGTCACTATACATCAACTTGATTGACTATGAGAAGGCGTTTGACAGCGTGGATAAAAGAACATTATGGAGAATTCTTCGACACTATGGAGTTCCAGAGAAGATTGTCAATATTATCCATAACTGATAAGACGGACTAAACTCCAAATGTTGCATGGAGGACAGCTGACAGATGCATCTCAAGTGAGGACCGGTGTCAGACGAGGCTGCTTACTCTCCCCCTCTTTCTTTCTTCTGGTGGTCGACTGGATTAGGAAGACATCCACACTTGACGGGAAGCACAGAATTCAGTGGACAGATTGGACGCAGCTAGACCATTCGAACTTCAGAGATGACCTAACCGACCTCTTCTATCCCATACACACAAACAAATGCAGGTCAAGACTACCAGTGTAGCCGCAATCTCTGCATCAGTAGGCCTCAACATACACAATGGTAAACCAAAGATCCTCAAATACAACACAGATAACAGCAACACAATCACACTTGATGGACAAGATTAGGAACAGGCTGAAACTTTCATGTATCTACCTGTTCAGCATCGTTGATGAACAAGGAGGATTCAAAGCAGATGTAAAGATAAGGATTGACAAAGTAAAGGGTAGCATTCCTACAGTTGGACAACGTATAGAACCCAAAACAACTGTTAACCAATATCAAAGTGAGAATCTTCAATACGAACATCAAGACAGTTCTAATGTACAGAGCTGAGACTTGGAGAAATACTACGATAATCATCAACAAAGTACAGGTATTTATAAACAGTTGTCTACGCAACAACCTACTGTGGAAGAGAACAAACCAGCTTCCAAAGGAAGAGGAAATTAGGAAAAGACGTTGGAAGTGGATGGGACACACATTACGGTAATCACCAAACTGCATTACGAGCCAAGCCCTAACTTTGAATCCTGAATGGAAGGAAGATCAAGGAATACACCATCGGGAATTGGAAGCAGACATGAAAAGAATGAATAGCAACTGGGAAGGATTGCCCAGTACACAGTTCGATGGGGAATTATGGTGAGCTGCCTAATGTCCTCGACGAAGGTCAACATGCGTAAGCAAGTGCTATTTAGTGTGAAAACCAGTCCAATAAAGTCGAAAGCGAAGCAATATGTCACTGGTGATACTGAATGGAAATTGTGATATAATACAAATTGACTGAGGTTCGAAAAGTAAACTAAAGGATTCCAACATATTAGTTTAAACATTTCGTACCAAATATATAGGCTATGCGGAAAAGACCAAGACTACATGGGAACCCTGTTGCTAAAATTAGAATAATTATATCTAAAACTTATCTAGGTGAGCCTGTTTAGGCAAATAATCTATTTACAATAGCCCACCCAAACCTGGTCACGTGAACCTCAGACACCATATAACCTGTCCGACTTTGCCTGACATATATACCTCAGTTATCCTTGGCCTAACCTGAATGAGTACAAATGTCTTTAGTGTTAAGTAATTTGGAAACTAGTACATTAAACATTCAGCAAAATGGTATACCTCTACAATCACTGATACTGTCAAGAATAACTGTAAGTAGACTGGCAAATATATGAAGGTGAAATTTCACTTTTATATCATTACATTGTGTAGTAGTGTAACATTCTGGAAACAACATGTTTAATCAAAATCCTGTTGTAAAGACATGTCAACACCAAAACAAAGCAGGTTTTTCTTGTAATTATGATGGAATTAAACTCAGTTACTGTTTTATCAAAGCCTGGGTACATAAGCAGTAATGTTATCCTCCTATTGGTAGTGGTAGAAATGTACTTTTATACGTCCACTGAATAAAATAAGGACTGTCTCACTTGTTTATATCCGGCCTAGTCTTCATAAAATTAGCCAGACATGAAATGTAAGCACGTAATTTAATATGACCTACAGCCCTAGATTAAGGTGACTCGATAGGTTGACCTAATTATAGACAAACATTCTATCTTGCAGGTTGGCTGATTCACGAAACGGTAACCTTGATTTGTACATTTTATGATTGGCTGCTTAGACCAAAGCAAAACAATTGGAGAAGACAGATCAGAAATGACTCTCAGTCCACATGTAACTCACTTATCAGGCGTTTGTAAGCGTGCTCTAAAAGGATATTTAGAGGAAAATCACCTTGGAGTATTTGACTGGGGTAAGTCTATGAGATCCTCTTTTTCGGAAATTTAATAGACCATTTGAAATAGGTTTTAGTCTTTGGATTTATTTTGGTATCATTCTTGTATAGATTCTAACGAATCATATTGGCAATACCAAGATTAAAAGGGTGGATTTTTAATTTAAATATGTAGACTAGTAGCATAGTAAATCGTTCTGACTAGCGTCACTACATATTGATAGTTTCAGTAGAATGTTTATCCTGCATGTTCCTGTTGAAGTTCTTTTAGAGATGTTGAAATGATCATTTAAATATTTTTACGATCGCCTATCTCTAATGGAACCTGGACTGGCGTTGGAAAATCTACCCTCGTAAAAAAATAAGTCAGAAAGTCAAAATTACGTGGACATTCACGATTCGGGCCATAAGTTCTGACCATAATTCCAACATTAAATACTAAACTACTATAACTCGAATTTGCAATAGAATGAAATAAGTTTTCTTCAACTTCTGAACTGTACAAAGCTAACCCATCACAAATTATAACTTATGATGCCTGGAAATGCACCTTCGGCTCTCTCTCTTTTAAGACAATAACAGAATCCAGTACAACTTACTAGTTCTGACTACCAGTTCTTCGTTGGTTTGAAGTAAGCATCACTCATGTCTGAAAGAATTCAAGTCCTAAACCTGTGAAACAAAACTTATCAAAATAAAGTGCAGTTCCGTCCCAAATCTCTCGGTTTACAGAAATCAGATTAGTTTCTCTGATTCATTTATACCGCATAGATATCTCCGGAAAGTCCACATTATCATCGAACTCAAACCAGGAATCTATTGATTAGATGCTAGTTCTCCGAATCGTGCTACGAAACTTGGTTTCCGAACGGATCTCAAGTTCGCCTGAGTCACCCAGCACATCACATACTTGTCCTGTGAATGGAAGAAAACTAATATATTGAAATACAAATAAATGTATTTGATTCACATGGCATCTGAACGAAATACTTGTGGATTGAAAAGAAACTTAAACCTTCTGATAGTTGTATATCAAAGTGTAGATGTTGAGGAAAATGACCAGTTGTTTAAATTCATTCACTGTTTGGGCACCTATTCATTGTTGAGGATTCTTTTGTAAATGTTCATGTGCTAATCAAGGTCACTTCAGACAAAAATAATAGGCCACATTTATTTTACCTGTGTAATATTGAGGTTCATTATTACATGTCATGGGTGTAATGCGCTGGTATTTGCAGGGTCCAAGATTACATTTTTCAATCTATCTTAGGGAATCAGATAAATTCTGATTGACATACAAGACTTTATGGGATGAACCGAACGACCCATTAAATTGCAGACTACGTACTAAGTTGGCCTGCTTTTACCTTCTACTTATACTTACGCCTGTTACTCCTCATAGAGGAGCATAGGCCACCCACCAGCATTCTCCATCGGACTCTATTGGGCAATCCTTCCCAGTGGTTATTCACCCTTTTAATATCTCCTCTGCCTGTAGGTCGGGTTACTGCCAATTCCAAGTCCGTGTAAAGGAGGGTTGGGCATAGGATCAGCAACCTCACTCCGTAGAAAATAACCTTGTTAAGAAAAACGTTGACTTTCTACTTATGGCACCAACAAAATAAAATTCATATTGAGTTTCGGAGGACTTTGCGTCAGAATGATTTTGATAGACAAACTTTTAGAATGATCCATGAGCATAAGCATCCTAGTAATAATCCATAATTGAGGTCATGGTGACCTAATATTGATCGACTCATGATTCCGATAAAAACTTGACAGTCTCCACAACCCTATACTGATGACAATCAATTAGGTTAAAACCGCCCGATTTCTATTTACTAGCACAAGTAGTTCGTCATATATTGTGGTCATTTTTTGTTTTAAATCCTCTGAATACTTGCCCTGAAATTCAGCTTGGATTGTTTCATAACCTGTGGATTACAAATAAAGTAATGACAACCGGGTTTCAACTCAGTTGCCCTTTGAAAAGAATGTGTTCGCCATAAATCAAACAAGGCACTTGTTCAACTATGGGACAATTTAAAGTGTGAACTACAGAAAACTTTCAAACGATACTGAAATATCCGCGAATGCCATTTTATTTCTATACTTCATCTGATGGTCCTGATCTGCGTTAAAAAGTATGTTCAAATCTATGTTAATTGTAAAATGGCTATCAAATTAATTTTACACTGGGAATCATAGTTTTGTAGGGACGTCTATATCTACTTATGTACGAAGGATGCCATGTTACTATTAATTGTACTTACTAAAAAGTCTCGAGTCAGAATATCCGATTGCATAAAAAGTGCAGGTCCGGTCGACAAAAAAACATCTATAGCATGAAAACGCTTAACACTGGTATTTCCCCTACAGCCGAAGTCTGGTTTACAGATGGGCCAATCATGTTGCAAGCTTGACGAATTTCAGCTCGTATGTTAGTGGACGATAGGACTTGATTGGTTTATTTAAATAGACAGATAAAGCCTAATGTTTCACGATTGTGATACAAACAGCTAACATTAGAAATATTGATCTTCAGAATTTTCGCGCACCACCATGACCTGTCTATCATACCATTCATGACAAGTAGGACGCCTATACCGACTACTATTTTTTTCTTAATTTTTGTCCCTAAATCAACATCATCACTGTTGACATTACAACTCCATTGCATTTATGTGCCTTATTATTGATTGGCCACTAGGATGTACTTCTTTTTGTTACCATGTAACTTAGTTTATTTTTCAAGCAAAACTTGTGAAACTAAACATGTTTGCCAAGGTAGTGATACAACGGAAAATAGTAAAGAAACCAAATACAATATTTATAGAGATTAGCACTGGGATTACATCTCAAACCTACAGGAGGCTGGTCGCGGCCCTGATAGCTCAGTGGTAACATCTCTAACTGTGAAGCTGGTTGACACGGGATCAAATCCGTCAGGGAGCACCAGTTCCCTCAAGCTTACAGGTACACCTTGCTGACGAGTGCCAAGTAACATGAAACCCGGAAGGGAAATATGATTGATTAATTAACATCATGATATAGGTTTATCTCATCCTTGTTTTTACGGATAAACTTGAATTTATAAGTTGCGACACTGAGTGACTTCAAATAAACACTCATTGAAAACCAGAAAGCACTGGACAACTGTTCCTTCCTATTATTCGACTTCTCAACAGTGCGCATCCAAGACCCGAACACAGATTGAACCTAGGACTTTGTATTTATGTTTTGAGTATCTGAACAACTGGATGAGAAATCCTATATGATAGTCATCTTAAAAGTATAAGAGTGGAAGTGTTTTTGATATGATATTGTTTTGTTCATCTTCAGCTCTGTACTACTAATGCACAAACCCACTAACTATTAAGTATCAATTGCACAGAGGCTTTTGTTGTTGATCTAATATCGTATTCTCTATTCATCTCTCCCCTTGCCTTTTTCTATGGTTTTTCCAATCATTTGCTTCTCTTCTGTTGGTTCCATTGTGTCGAGTTGTGTATTTCGTGATTGTGTTGAGATCGGTACATTGAATAAAAGAAAGTGGTTCAACTTCCTTTGACCATTAATGACTTGTCACCTTAGTATTCTAAATATTATTAAAAGACAGGAATGCAAGATCTAATACATCTCTACGACAGTGAATATATGGACGTCGTAGTTCTCTTGTAAATATTTATTTATAATGACACTACAAAATCAGCCGTCTGAGATGGGGACATAATGAATCTTATTACAGGAATAACAGACATTATACTTCAGTGATTAGATCTCTTGATAAATTAATTCGACTAAATCACTTTCTGAAGTTAACAGTGTACCAATTTCACTTGATTCTTAGGTTGTTTATATTGATAAAGTTAACTATTAAATTCTTGTCTGCCGTACAATACCTAATACTATAGACTTATCTAAACTTTCCTTGCTACTCAATAGACTATAGATTCTGATTAATTTACTTCATTCATTAATTAGCTCATTATTCGTAGGTTTGCTGTGCAGTATTTAATTCAAATGTACTTTGAAGATTATGTTTTCGTTATGGTACTTACACGATCGTAATACAGTTTAATTTATAGCGACCAACTAATCATAAAGTTTACCACGACGATCAAGACTGAAACAAAACTTTTCAGAAAGAATTTAGATATTTTATAGCGATGGTGATTCATTTTTATAGTATGACTTATTTTACCAATAAGAATGAACTGAGGAAACATCACACCATTTCTCTTATTTGACCGATTGTGTTACAATGAAATATGGTTTTATAACAGGTGGTAAGTAGGATAGTGGCCAAATCAATAGAGACAATACGATCTCATGTTAGCATCTTACTGAATATCACTGCATTTTCAAAACTATTCACTACTTCTTAATCTTCAAAGATAATTGAATTTACATGAATTTCTTCAAATAGTATACTTGTAACTAGATATCAACTACTCAGCTTATAAACACTAGTAAGAAAGAACCGATAAGATTAAGAAACCGTAGAAACATTACTATGTAATGACACCAAAAGAAGAGGATTACATGTATTTAAAGCAGTAGAATACGTAGGTTTTTTTTGACAAGATCATAAGAAAATTAAAACAATTAGTCCCTTTGATAAATTTCGATAATGCAATGAGAAGACCCCCTTTATGTGTTCAAAAACAATTTGTGCTTACACTTAACCTACCCTGGTAGTACTGATTTACTATCCAGAGTGGTAATCACATTTGTTTTTGTGTACTTTCATATTTTTCCTTTGTTATGACTTACCCTTAACCTGTCTAGTTGACCTTTTAATTTTTCATATATAAATGTTCTTAACAAGTATATGTGTGATCAAATTGTTCGAAATGTATTGCGCAAATATATCACATAATTCTGATAAACTACGTCTTCTCATTGCATTATCGAAAGATCATAAGAATTTTTTTACTCCAGTAACATCTTCAATAAACCAGTATTTATTATTTTAGGAGATTCAGTCAACAATTAGTTTCTTTATCCATTTCTGAGTAATATGAAATATTATGTCTTGTAATAGTCTTGGATTTCTCTCCATCCTCTACCCATCTGAATCAAAACCAAACTACTATGAGGGATATTCTTTTAAACATATAATTATTTTATTGAGTACAAATTTTTAATTTAATTAAGTGGTTTACTTTCATTACGTTTAATTTAAATATCATTGACTGGGTGAATCCACCAAAAATTGTTTATGTTACACATATGAATATTGTTTAGATTGATTTTAAAGTTATTCTTTACAACCGTATAATGAGATGTATTTTCGTTCTGTATTCTCATCTCTTGATCATCCTCTAGGAATATTCTAATGCTAGCTTTTGTATATGCTTAAGTACATAACCTTGATATTAGAAAGTTGCCATGAGAAATGTCGATTAAAATGAATTGGGAATCTTAAAGTAAAGCATAAGAATGGATGTAAAATAAGACTAAATATTCTAAACATGCTAGTGAAAATAAAGATAAAAATCGTACACCCCTATGTGTTGATCCAATAAAACTATCTTTTATCCCACAGTACCAGTTTGTAAACTGAGAGCTTCTCCGCTTCTTTCAATTAATTTATGTGTCAATAGACAATATTTGGTAGTGAAAATGTACCCAAGTCATCAAAGCCAGCATTGCTGCATAACTTTCTCAGTTGAGATTGGCGTATGTGCCCACGGTTTTCATTATAAGAACTATCCGGGTTAATCAACCCGACCATTTCCGATCCCCTACTTTTAAGGGCAATTGAAAATACAAGCTGTTGCCAATTTTACTGAAGTACTTTGCATTTAGATGACGTAAAGCTGATACCATACTAACGAAAGCTAATTACCTCCTGATTAACTTAGGTTTATGGAGTCTGACCTAGGATTTCTAGTCAAGTTTACGGATTTGTGATTCTAACGTCAAACTCAGACCCTTTTTTCAAGCACTAGAATAATTAAAGATGAAGTCTTGTTCGATGGTGAGATAATTAATTCTCATATCTTACTAGAACTGAAGTCAGGCTTAAATGCAAGCATGTATATAGTTGTAAAAGGACAATCAAGTATATTCCCATTTTTAACTAATATAAAATTACAGCGATATTTCAGTGTTAACGTAGACAGAATGTCAACCTTTATCCTTTACATCTATAAAAAGCAAATTACTTCTTAAACTGTGATTTCATGTTTTTCTGTACTGTCGAATCATATTGAATGATAACAGCTTCATGTAATCATTTGCTGAATAGCGTGAATGAAGACTATGTTTGAGCTTCATTTAACAACATTGTTTTCACAGTCATTATTTACTTGACTCTAGTACCACATTTATCATGCTTTGTGTTTGGTAACTATAACTCTCATATATTTTTTTAAAGAATTAGATTATTTATTCCGATCAATTGTTCATGTTTTCTTAGTCTAGCCACTTTTCAGTTGTTTACTGATTTTACAATTTATTCTTTTCAGAGTCAGTTAAAAGTCACAATGAATGTTATTTAAAATACAGTAGTAAGATGAATTTATTATCCTTATCACAATACAATAACATTGGGATGTTACCCTTAGTTGGATTATTGTTCATTGTGATACCTGAACTCGTTATTTATGAATTCCAAAAATGAAGTATTGATAATGGAAAAGTGATGATTGATAACATGGATCATAATGAGAATATGTACTTGTTCATGAAATTATGTTCACTAATTGAAAAGAAGATGATTGATAATTTTATTTATTCAGATTTAATATTGGGTCATCTCAATGTCTTTTCCTCATTGTTTATCTTAGTCATAGTATTCAACAAACCCTAGCTTTTAAAATAAATATATAGTATAAGTCAGTAATCATAACTTTACAATTTAATCTTTGTTTTCAGTCAAATGGGTCTGAATCATTATGGTTTGAATTATTTTTCCTGGTTAGCGTTTTTTAGCGAGTTAGTTTTCTACGGGATGGGATCGCTAACCCCATGCCCAACCTTCCCATTTTAACCGGGCTTGGGACCGGCAGTAGCCCAAGAGGGGCTCTAGGCGGAGTTTTGAATAATTATAATGTATTCATATTTCGTTGACCGATATAGACATAAATGATATTTAAGTCAGATAAAAATCATATCTTTCGATAGATCTTCATTACAGAAAAAATGAGTTGTAGAATATCAATTTCTTGATTTCATAAGTTCTCGGTAAATGCTTACAACAAAACCAATTATAATGTTGGAAATGTATGAATATCTGTATATGTACTTTAATTTTACTAATCAGACTAATATTTACTGAAAGAAAGAAAAAAAAGACAATCTTAATGTAACTTTTGAGTTTACAAAATGATTAAAAATAGGTTTCTAAGAGAATGTAGGAAAATGATACATAGAAATTTAAGGACTAAAGTGCATGAAGGTTGCTCAAGCCTTGATTAGTAGAGCTATATTCTCACTGATAAACCTTTAGTCAAAATACTAATGTTCAAAATAATCAGTCACTGCTCTAGTTTTTTTATTTAAGGATAGTTTTCGTTATAAATCATTGTTTCATTTGGGAGAAATAGGTTATTATAAATCAGGCCACAAACATTGTACATCAACTGTTAATTCATCTAAATTACTGCATAAATTGCAACTGATGGATGAAATTTGTTCAGCATTATGGTTTGAAAATACAGAGCACCTATTATTATTCAGTTAGTCTAAATATATAGAACTCCGACTGTGGCTCTTCTAGAATTACTGTCAGTCCCAAGCCCGAGTAAAGAAGGAGGGTTGGGTATGGGATCAGCAAAACCAACCTGCAAAAAACAATCTTGCTACAAAACCATTCAAACTCTTCCCTACAAGTTTAAGGATATTCATTTAGAAGAACTATCACACCTCATGATGAAAGCAGAGATTCTTTGGAAGTCACGTGAACAATCCCCCATCCAACGACAAGAGCAACAATTTTTATAAATACATGGAACGTCCTGACAAGGTGGGAGACTGGGAGGACCAATCAAATAGCTACAAAATGAGGAAATACAACTTGGTGATTTTCGAAATAAGTGAAACTCATTGAATCCAAGTTGGATAGAAAATATTATATTCGAGAGAGATTCTGTTCTACTCTGGTCTTGAGGAATAAGATGCTCCACACACTCAGAGAGTTGCACTGATGCTGTCCAAAGAAGCAGCAAAAACACTTATAGGATGGAAATCTCATGGATCCGGGATCATTAAAATGTTGCTGAACCGGATGAAAGACGCAGTAGACACCTAAATAAGAGATCAACAGACTGGATTCCGTAAGTATCGGTCGCGCACAGACCAAATCGCGACACTACGGATCATCGGTGAACAATTATTTGAATGGAAATCGTCACTATACATCAACTTGATTGACTATGAGAAGGCGTTTGACAGCGTGGATAAAAGAACATTATGGAGAATTCTTCGACACTATGGAGTTCCAGAGAAGATTGTCAATATTATCCATAACTGATAAGACGGACTAAACTCCAAATGTTGCATGGAGGACAGCTGACAGATGCATCTCAAGTGAGGACCGGTGTCAGACGAGGCTGCTTACTCTCCCCCTCTTTCTTTCTTCTGGTGGTCGACTGGATTAGGAAGACATCCACACTTGACGGGAAGCACAGAATTCAGTGGACAGATTGGACGCAGCTAGACCATTCGAACTTCAGAGATGACCTAACCGACCTCTTCTATCCCATACACACAAACAAATGCAGGTCAAGACTACCAGTGTAGCCGCAATCTCTGCATCAGTAGGCCTCAACATACACAATGGTAAACCAAAGATCCTCAAATACAACACAGATAACAGCAACACAATCACACTTGATGGACAAGATTAGGAACAGGCTGAAACTTTCATGTATCTACCTGTTCAGCATCGTTGATGAACAAGGAGGATTCAAAGCAGATGTAAAGATAAGGATTGACAAAGTAAATGTAGCATTCCTACAGTTGGACAACGTATAGAACCCAAAACAACTGTTAACCAATATCAAAGTGAGAATCTTCAATACGAACATCAAGACAGTTCTAATGTACAGAGCTGAGACTTGGAGAGCTACTACGACCTACTACCTGAGCAATGCTTCAACATCATTCGGAATTCATTACACAGCTGACAGACGCATTCCAAGTGAGGACCGGTGTCAGATGAGGCTGCTGAAAAGTATTGCACAGTACAGAGTTCGATGGGGAATAATGGTGGGAGGCCTATGCTTCTCCACGAGGGGTAACATACGTAAGTAAATATATAATTCTTATAAAAAGATCAGTTATGGCTGTGGATTTTGGTGGTTCTACCTTTTACTTTCACATTGGGTGATGCGCATTATATTCTTTAATATCCTTGTTTTCTCTTACCTCAATTTCTGTTCTAGTTGACACTTTTTATACCGAAATGTTCTCAACGTGTATCTGTGTGATCAGAATGTTATGCGCTAATGTATCACATAGTTCTAATAATGTTCGTCTTCTTATTAAACATAATCGTATGTTGTACTCATTTTGTCAATTTATTTGATGTCATCCAAGACTATTCTTGCCTAATATACTTAATATAACGTCTTTGTTTAGATGACAGCATAGGTATTTTAGATCTATGTGACGTATTATTATTTCGGTCATTTTAGTTTATCACTCTACCTCCATTTACGGATCGATTGTGGTCAGAAAAATTTCCTCCTGTCTACCCATTATTTTGCGTTGGTGTGTCTAAGTTTTCTAAACACATGCCTCTTATATGCATGCCATGTGAAGATTCCATATTTTTCAGATAACCAATTTTTATTGCTTTATGTAGTCGTCTGTCTAATTTTCCGTCCCTTATTTCAATCGGTTTTTACCAACCCACATAACATATTATATGCAACAATGTACATTAATCAAGGCACCAGTTTTTATTAAATTTTTCATACATTATAAATGCCGCATAGTTTCAGCCCGGAATATAGATTTCACTCGTCGGCGTTTAAAACGAACCAATCATAGGTGCGCGCGAATTTTTTTTCTAGCCAGACTGATAACCTTGTGACTTGATTGGCTACTATGTGCGCTAGTTGGTTTGATTTATATATATCGTTATGTGAATTTGTTGATTGCAAATAAACTACAGACCACTTTTGTTGACGTTATTTACAAAAGTAGTCATGGCGAATAGACATGGGTATGTCAACTACTGATTATTTTTTGTGAGTTGAATTCCAAAAGTTATATCGTTATTATTGTAATTTCTAATTATTGAACTCTTGAACTGTGCAATGTTGTGATTCTGGGAGGTAGTTCGTTGTGTGGTTTGCTTATCAAAATGAATAAAAGAAGACCATACAACCGACTGGCTTTCCCATTGTACAGCATTAAACAACAATATTGATTCTTATTAATGGGATCAGTTAGGAAATAAATATAATGGAGCTGGATATTGTTTTGTCATTGTTTGTGATCTAATAGATCACACTCCATTGTATCCTCGTGAATAGAATCTAAGTGTTTTCGGCCGTCTCAATAAGTTGGTAAGTATGTATGTAGTTGTCGATATTTTCCTTCATTCAAACAATTTGCGAAACCATACCACCGTAATTCACTGTTACCTATACTTGTTCGGTCTTATAGGTCTATGTAGGACAATATCCCCATTCGAGTTTTTCTTAGAATCCCATTTCAAGAGAGGTCCGATTAGCTGTTAATTCATAAGCATGTCCTGATGTTAAACTGCACCGCCTGACCAGTCGGGATAGAGTAAGCAACTTCAAGGCTGTGGCGTATAAATCAGTCTAGCATGATGCCTTTCAATTAGTGTCAAACAAAGATGTAAACTTCCGACTATATTATGGTTAATTTTAGTAAGCAAAACATCTTTGAGTAATTACAAGACGTTATAATGCTGAGAAAAACTAACTCGTAAATTCAGGAATATGAGCAATCCGAATGAGTTCAAATGTATAGGATACGGAATGATATTTTGCTGCAATACTTATTAAAGTTAGGATTATCACTGAGTTAGAATTATGTTTGGAATCAGGAGTTATGTTATATACATAGAACCACCCTGATCTTAACTCTCACTTCTAACGGTTAAAAGCCTATAACCAACTTATAAAAAGTCACTAGTTGTGTATGTGCATTGATTTTCAATTATAATTCAGATTTGCTGCCGGCTGATTGACTAAAATACATCAAAATCTCAACGTTGATAGACATAGTTTGACTTTACGGTAAGATGGTATTCACAAATCCTCATCAAAATTTACTAGTAAATCATTTCAATTATTTCATCTTGGTTCAAGGCCTGAAAAAGATAATCATTCGACACATACATACACACACACACACATTATTTTGGTTTTTTGTTCTGTCGCTAAACCTCGTTTGCGCAAATCAACGAAGAACTTATTGATTTCAAAAAAATCTTGAATAAGTTTAAGTCCTCACATTCTATTAGATAGTAGTCCCCCAGTGACAACATATCGTGGGATCATCTCTGCATTACTACGAAGCAAATCATCTGTCGAGCGTGCAATCGTATAGACCCATCAAGAGACTGATACTTATGAATAGTTGAACTCAAGATAAGCATCATCTTATCCGTATTTCAGTAATGTACCTAACTTTATTCAGTCTTAATAACAAACCGACCAACTACGTAAGAGGATTGAACTTTATGGAAAAAGAGAGAAGGCAATAAGTGTTTTTTATGTGGTTCATTGCGAGTTTGATGTAATCACTTGACTACTAGACGTTTTACCGTCCTGTCAATACAAGATTTCGTTGGAATAAGTAAATGGCTGCTTTGTGTGGCGTATTTTTTTTTAAAAACGTCAAATTATTATTACTATTATTAGTATTAGTACCAGTGTCAATACCAGTATTAG